GATACGCTTGCCGTTTTCTCTACGATTCCCGACCAACGTTCCAGTGTTTTATGAAGACAACAGGATTCAATCTAGATTTCCTCAGTTTCCGGTACAGTTATGAAGCTCAGATCCGGTCATTTTCGTTTTGGCTGCGCACCTCGAATCCGGCAACCGGACATGACAAGATACGCCTTGGAACCTGTTCCTTCTAGTTAAACAATATCAATACCTTTCAACCGATTTATCGCGGAACCTTCTTGAGAGTAGGTATTTAAGAAAAACCTTTTAAAACTCAGACTAAAGCCTATATTCGAGAAAAATTAACAAAAAACTGAGTAAATACAGAATTTTCGATCAAACTCAATGCAATAACTGATTTCAATCGATTTCATTTTTAATCCAATAAAATTCCAGTTTTTCACATAGAACCTAAACAATCTGTGACGAATCTAGCTGATTTCGTTCCGTTTTATATTAAACCTATTATAATTCATTTTTTTATACCAAAATCTATTCAAGCCGGTTCTTTCAAGTGAAATTCAAATAGCATGCTAACACTATAATCCATTCAAATCCATATAATGGTTCTTTTGATTTCAATCAGAATTCAGAAGAAAAAAGGATACTAAATTTGAAACTGAAATACGGAACCGGCGGGTCTTTAGAATTATGATGATGATATGTATAATACCTATTCCTATTTTTATACGGTGTGGGTATGAGTGTAAGTCAAAAGAAGACTTACACCCACACTCTATGAAAATAGGAGTGTATACTATATACATCATTATTTAATTCTAAAGACCCACAAGGTCTACACCCTATAAAGATAGGGAGGTATATACTGTAGATATCATCATTATAATGCTCAAGACACATAGTTTTTATGGAAAAGGATGCTGTTTTTTTTTCCAAAATTCAGTTTAAAATCAAAAAGACTATAGACTCCACGAACAATAAAACGAATATTGAACTTTGAAATAAAAATGTGTCTCTTAAAAAACTAGATCAATTTCTCTATGGCATCTTTTATATCATATGTTTCAGGTTCAGAACAAATGTTTGTAACAAGAAATCAAATTTAAAATACTTTTTCTTTTCAACCACACTATTCCAAACTCCTATTTTCGTTCACTATTTTAATGGGAAATATACCCTTTCAATACTTGATTTCGTCAATTAGAATTAATAAAGCGTAATTTATTACATCATGTCTCTCTTTTTTTGTAGCAAGAGTCTTTGTTTTTTCGGATGATTTTATTCTTTTTCTAGATGTTAATTACTATTCTGTCTTTAAACTATTCAATAATTATTCTTCTCATTACATAAACATATACTTGATATCATACAATATCACGACAAACAAACCAAAGATTAAATATATAGAAATTTTTCTTTATTTTCTTCGATAGACTATTTGTTATCGACAATAGATTTTGAAAAAAAATTAAATTTTTTTTTTTTAGATTAAAATATTTTTTCAAATAAAAGAAATAACTTAATATCAATCAGAAGACAAAAAAAAATACATTCAACCAAGATCGAGGACATCCAATTTATGTTTCAATTATTCTGAGATAAATAATAAATTCCAAAAACATTTTAATTAATATTCATACCAAAATTCAATCTAAAATTGTAAAAGAGATTCGTACGAATCAATCTGTTCAATAATTATTCTCAAATCAGATATAATTTCTTGATCATGATTATTGTCTAATGCTGGCTGTTAGTGTATCCGATTGATATTTAATATGTTCAAAGTAGAAGAACAGAAAAAGAAAACAAGAATGAAAAGAACAAGAATGACTAACCAATAATTGCCATACTTTACAAGTCATTCATTGATATGAAATAAAACCAATGACAAATGAATATGAATTCCATAGAAAATCAAATTCAATACGGACTAAACAGTCTGCATAACACAATTCTTCATTCTATATAGATAGAAAAAATGTCAATACGTATTGGAAAAGTTACGGGAAAGAAAATTCCTATTCGACAACCGTCACCAGAAATACCTTCACCAGTGAAAGTTATTAAAACAAATATTATTGATGATAATATTGAAAATAAAATACCAATTGATAATATTGAAATAAAACATAATCCATTATCAATTAATCTTAATGAAAATAAAATTGATATTAATCCGATGACAATTTTTTTAGCTAATGGTCAACCATTATTAACAAATTTTGAAGAAAAATATTTAATCGATATTATATTAAAAACATCAAATAAAGATATTGAAACAATTCTAGAAGAAAAAATTCATTTTATTCTACAAATGAATTATCCTACACAATCATCATTATTTAAATTAAATCTACATTGGATATTTGATTTTATTCTTAAACATTTTCAAACTTTAATCAATCATATAAATTCTTCACAATTATTTGAAAAATTATTAAATAAAAATTTCGATAGAAATAATTCAATAATCGCTTTTAAACATTGGCAATTAAAAACACTTGTTAATGAACATTCAAAACAACAAAAACAATCGACTACTTCACAAAAACGTCGAATGACTGTTCGACGTATTGACTTTGATTAGATTGACTTGTGTCTATTGTATTTTTGTTTCATATATGTCGTTGAAATTAAATACACATTATATATAGGTATAAAGAATATTTTTATCATATTTCTAATAAATCATTATAAAGAAAGTAATCAAAGATCTACTTTATTTGCTTACGAGACTTGTATTAAAAAATCTCTGTACATTAAGTGTTAATTGAGTAATGATATAATTACCATTGTACTCTTCTCTGAAACTTTTTAATTCTCATTGTTACAAAAAGATAAACAACAAAGATCTTAGTAATTATTTTTCGATGTAAAATATTGTGTTTTTTCTTATTTCAGAAAGTACAACTAGGTACATCATTGTTCTTTTGATATACAAAGTTAATCTTAGGTCCCTCTTATGAGATATACATTTTAACAGATAGAAAAATGATTTATAAGACTTTGTTGATAAGCATCTTATATGACATTACATCTATTTATTATTGTGTCTTGGATAGTAT